ATTAAGTCCCAAACATAAGATATATTAATAAGCGCCGAAGAAGTATTCATTCATTCGTCAGAAATCAGATTAAATCAATTGTTAAGCTCTCCCATATATAAGCTGGAATTTTTTCCTCTAATCTGTCCAATAAGGGTTTATGGGCAGCTTAGTTAAGGAGTAATTAAAGGATTTTACTGGATAGGGCTATTTTTTTCCATATATTAGGAATATAGTCGAGTGTCCATTTTAGTGTAACAGCCAAAAAGCGAGAGATTCCTCTGATGTATTGACATCTTTGTACCTTCGTTACTGAAGATACAAAATGTTCATTTATTTCCTCAAGAAGCATTCTTTGTCATAATATTTTTCTTTCCCTTTATCATAGAAATCTTATCGCATGCGCATACATCTATACATGGCAGATTAATATGGAGAATTGAAAACCTATAAGATAGATTTGAAATAAGCATATGGCATACTAGGAAGGACTCTTCCTAAATCCGGTAGTACGGGTCCGTGCTGTGATCCTTAAAATAATTAGATGTCTTATTTCTCTATAACTCTACGAGAAATTATTGGGGAGCCTGTAAATTCACCGGTCTGTTCACGACGGAATAATTTTTCTACAATAGCAATCACTACTATAATATATCATGATCATGGATGTGATTCTATAAGAAAAAGCTGTCTACTCGCGTTATACGAAATCATAGTCTACCCAAATGAAATGACAATTCAGTTGTAATCATTGATTATGTCTGGGTAAGATTACAGTCTTGTTATATTATTGTTGCCAGTGAATAATTATTTACCTCCCTGTTAATGATAATATAGTGCAGCAATAGTTACAGATATGTAGATACCTATATAGATGGATCCATATACTTATTCAGATTTTCTATTATTCCAAACTAAAATTACAAGTACTTCTTTAAAATAGGGACAGAAGGGTTCGTAGTATTAATCAGAATTTTGTACTTTGATATCAGTTATTATCAGAATATGATAAATTCGTCTATGCATCATAGCTCATATCATAAGGGATACCATAATTTATGACGGCAAAAGTTGTAATTCTTTGTCTGCCGTAGTAATTATATTCATCTCTGTTCTTCATATTCCTCTGAACTGAAAACAAGATATAGTTTCGTCGAAGTAATATGTGCATATGAATTGTATGGGGCAGACATTTCTCATACAGGAAGGAAAAAATGATCTTATTATAGACATCTTCTTGTTTTGATTCCTGAGCAGGCACCTGAAAGGTTATATTACAGTCAGCTTTAGTATTGAATCCTATATTATCAATTTATCCGAGCAGAGTGGATTTACCAAGCAACACGAATGATTCTGTATTAATATTATAGTTTTAATATAGGACGATAACATATTAATTCCAAAAGTAGGTTGTCTCTACTTATCTAATAACTGGGGTGTTCTCCTGACGTATTAAAACATACAACACAGAAGAATATAAATACAAAACCAACATGACGAAAAGATCATTGCAATAACATAGGAAACAACTATATGTGTAAAGTAAATTATGCAGGGTAGTGTATTATTATTGAGACCTCACCTGATGCATTAATACATTTGAACCTTCGAAATACATAGTGCACAGCCTGAGGCAGAACAAACCCGAAGGTTTATAGGCAAAGTGCCAGCATTTTCTACAGGAGTATATGGCTATGGGGTCAAATATTTTTAATATAGCCGATACAGATACGATTTAGCGTATGATTCTTGCTTCAAACTGCCAGCCTATCACCTTTCCATCCCGAGTGGCCATATCTGCGGATATGTTAATAGGACATATCGTTCAACTGAACCGATATATATAATAATGAAAAACACACCAGCGAGAAAAATTCCCACCCAAGGTAACCCCTGGAACGTCAGATGCAAATAAAACAACCAAAAAATGGAGACAATCCCTCAACCGTAGACGTAATCCCTGGCCCAGCCCTTGGAAAAAATACCTGCTCACAAGTATGCTTCCTAAGCTAAAGAATACAGGAGTACCTCTACAACATAAAAAATACCATCAAACCCATTAGCCCAGGAAAGTAATAAGCCAACCCTAAAGCCTACCCCTGAACCCTAAACATAAACCGTGAGCGTTAAAACTGACCCCTAGACCGTAAAACCTACCCACTAAAGACTAATCCATAAACCCTGAACCCTAAACCCTGAACCCTAAGCCTAAAACAAAAACCTAAACCCTGAGATCTAAACCCTGATGCCTAAAGCTTCAATCCAAACCTCAGTACCATGAACCCTAAACGCTAACCAATAAAACTAAAACCTAACTCAACAACCCTAAACGCTAGTCCTACCCCCCTGAACACTAAACATAAACCTAACCAATAAGCACAAACCTCTAAACCCAAAGACTAACAAAAACAACATAACCCATAACGCCTAAGACCTGAATCCCTGACGCCTCAACACTGAGAACTGATCCCTAGCCCCTGACCCGTAACCGTAGACGTAACCCCTGAACGCTGAGGCCTAAGAAATAGACCCTAAACCCTGAACCCAGAACCGTAACCCTAACCCTAGAAACTAAACACTAAAAACTAAAACCTGAACCCTGACCCCTAAGCCTAAACCTCAACCCCTAAACCCTGAACACCTAAACCCTAACCCCTGAATCCTGAATCCTGAACCCTAAACCATGAACCCTAAACCCTGAAAACTAAACCTGAACCCTGGACCCTAAACCCTGAAGCCTAAAGCTAAGCCCTGAACCCTAAACCCTGAACCATCAACCCTGAACCCTAAACCTAAACCTGAAACCTAAACCTGAACCCTGAACCCCTAAACGCTGAACACTGAACCATAAACCTGAAGCCTAAACCTGAACCCTAAACCCTTGTCCCTAAACCTAAAACTCGAACCCTAAACCTAGACCCTAAACCCCGAACAGTAATCCACCAACCCTGAACCCCTAAGCCTAAACCTTGAACTCTAAACCCTCAACCCCGAACCCTAAACCTCGAACCTGGACTCCAGGTCTAAAATGAAACCCTAAACTCGAACCGCCAGCTTAAACCTAAACCTCCAATCGTCCTCTCCCAACCCTTAAAGCCCCAATGTCATGCCCTCATCCTAAACCTAAATCCTAAACTCTAACCCTCAACGCCCAATTGGCAGACTCGTAGTTCAGACGTCAAACGCTCCAAATGATGTGCTAACTCCTACGAGCCAAGCTCCCTAGTGCTGAATCCATACCTTAAGACTCAAACTCACCATCTCCAACTTCTACCTGCATGGCCTGGGGGAGCCTCCTCAATACTCAAACCCCCAACGTGTCAAGGCTCTACCCGCAGTCGTAACCCCATACTTCTCAACTTCTCCTTCGGGTCAGTGACTTGCTCCTATCAACCCAGTGACTCCAGCATCAACTCTAATCCTACCTGCTGCTATCTTAACCCTACTCCTTAAATTGACCTTGCGGATTCCCGGCCGGCTACTTAACCCTTAACTCGTTCCCTCTTTCTATCATGTAAAGGCCACTACTCGGCGGGGAACCCCCCCGTTGTTTCGGGTATCGCATCACGGCTCCCGTAGATTCACAGGATTTTCATGCTAGACTTCCCAGAGGTGGTTGAGGAGCTTCTGTTTCCTTGTAGGCTTGGTCTGGCTCCCTTAGACTACTTCTCTCCATGTATCTTCTACAATCCCCTCTACAGACTATACCATCGTATACGAACCGCAGCCTGAGGTTTCGTAGATGCTAAAGCACAATTCAGGAAGCCATATACTTCACGCCGTTGGTGAGTCCAGCCGTCACCTTCACTCTCCTACTCGTTCCTCCTCTCCCCCTTAAAAACACTCTTGAGATACCATACAAACTCCCCAAAGCCAAAACTGCTCCCACTACCCCTCCTATGATAGTCCCGTAAGGAGCTGTGGGCATATCTGCTGTTCCCTGTTCGGGTCCGTTACTCTGGTCAGATTCAGAATTTTCTCTGATGCTTACTTCTGTTGTGTCCGCGGGGCCGGGTCCAATCCTTTCACTCGTCTTGGTCAGGCCTGGGGTTTGCAGCGGAGAAACGTGGGAGGATCTCTCGGTCGACGGGGCGCGAGGAGGATACCGCCCAGGTTCAGACTGGTCCGCCTCCGTATTGACCGTCTTGGTAGCTTCAGAGTCTCCTGCTCTATTCTCTACCCTCGGGGATTCTTGGGTCGGTTGAATTTCCTGGCTGCTGGGCTGGTCGTGGGACGCTTGCTTGATATCCTCTCTAGTCAGTGTGTGCCTAGTACCGTGCGCGTACACTACGCCTTCGTTAGGGCTTGTGCCTGTCCTCTTCTCATCTGCCCATCTTTGGAGTTTGGGGTCCTGAAAGACAGTTGGGGCCTTAGTCGGTTTATACACTTCCAGGTCCACTCCCGTCTGGCTTTCCGTTATTCTGAGTGAGCTGGGTGGCGCCCTCATCCCTCCTTTGACTAGAGTCCTCCTCCCCAGTGTCCAGAGGTTCAGACCTGCTGTGGTCTTTCCCTTTGCATCTCCTGTGCAACTAAAGAAGTTATCACTTAACGTGCAGGCTCCAATCCTCCTCAGGCTCCACCCGCCCTTTTTTATCAGACCTGTCAAGTCATAATTCCTCTTATACTCACAACATCTGCTCAATCCATAATATATACTCAAAATAAACCCCAGACCATCATACTTCGACTTCTCTTGACCTCTTACTTCTCTCAGCTTCTGCAGGAAGTCGTCTAAATCCTTCATCTTTGTATCTTCTCCTGAGGAGGAAGCGTCTTCGAGCTCTAATGCCACCTCCTCCCAGATTTCTTGGCAATCTTTTTGGATTTGTTCGGAGACTTCGCTGGTGTTGATTTCGTATCCCATAAGACCCCTTATCACACACGCTAAAGCTATTAACATATTTTGTCCTAGGGCACTTTTGGACCAATCTGCCCCTACTCCCCCCCTTAGAGCATGGCTCCACTTGTTCTTTTCCCAGATGTCCCTGGGTTCCTTCTCTGTTTTTACGCGGATTCGGTTTATATTGATGGCTTCATACATCACACACGTCAATAGTTGCTTCCATGATTCACTATCGTGTTGGGAGCTCATGATTTCGCGTCTTAAAGGGCTATTCTCCCCAACGAACCTCTCCCACCTTCCGGGTCCTGACTGTCTCGTCAGGATCCTGTTCCAACTTCCTAAGAATCCTCCCACAGTTCCGTCCCCGCCTCCAGTTGGACCGACACAATACCTGTGTTGTTTTGGGATACAGGTATTGTCCTTGCCTGGAATCAGTTGACGTGCCCACGTCCCTTCAGCTAATTTCACTTTGCCATCCCCCATCCCTTCCTTCTTCTTGACTATGTCGTTGAACTATACTAGTGATGAGCCCCAGGGTCCATTTGCTTTCCCTCCTTTCTAATTTTCCTCTTCTTTCTTAACTTCCTGCGAGTCCCCTTTTTTTACTGTTCTTCACTCGTCCCTCTCGTCATTGCCGTCGCAGGGTGAGGGCTCCGAATCCGTCGTTTCTTTTATTTTGGTTGTTTTTGTTCCCCAGGGCTCCTACTATCCACTACTCCTCTTCTATTGACTCTTCCCTCCTCTCCCTCCTCTTATTTTACTCTACCCGATTGACTTCTTCTTGAGCCACGCCGATTTTTATGAGTACGGACTGGTCCTCCCTGTATCGTTTCGTTGCTTTGAGCTGCTGATCTTGGCCATCAACTACTTCTCAACCAGTGGGTGTTCCGTCCTACGGATTCAGATTTGGAGGAGACGGGAGCCGATATTTCGCAACTCTACCCTCCGAAGTGGCTGTGGTTGGCCTGGCTTTTTCTCCTCTAGATTTTACTCACTCATTGCCTTCTCTGAGCCGAAACTTTACGTGTTGAGTTGTCCTTTGGCACACGTGCTTCCCCTTGGTTGTTGGCTCGGGTTCGGTTCCCTTCTGGTTGCCAGGTTTGACGTGCCTTGTTCCTCCTTGTCGGTACCCTCCTTCCTCTTAGTTGGGGGGGACGGTCTTCTGCTGCCTTAATTCAGGCGTGTTTACGGGCTGGGACACCTCTACTTGACCGTACTGTCCCGATTTGACATTTTTTGATGTTACGATTGCCTACATTTATTCGGTTATTCCATCTGTTGTTTTATCCTGCTCTTTTCTGAATCCCTGGTTCTGTAATGTGCTTGGATGAACCTTCATTAACTCCTAGTAGCCTAGCTATTAGAAGACTAGCTCGTAAGCCCTCCTGAGCAGTGTCCTGCTCCACCGCTTTAATCTCGTCTACCTGTGTTATTTGTCACCAGCCACTGTGATCTCTGCTCACGGAACTCTCACTCCACAATGTCGTGGTGGAATGCTCAGAACACTTGGACCTGTTCCAAGGAATGACCCACGCTTGGTATTTATTGCCCTGATCTCGCTAGGAATCGCCTGTTGGGGGCCAGAAGTTTATTTTCTGGTGTCTTTTCTCTTCCCATTCAGAATTAAAATCCTCCAGATGTTCCCCCTGAGGCGGGCGCGTGCCATTCGTATAATATACTCGCGTCTATTGTCGGGAATTATCGCTAGAGTCCGGTTGATCCTAGGCTTGGGCCTGGGTTTGGGGCGGCTCAGCTAGTGCCTTCCTCGAATTGAGACATGAAGCCAGGTTTGGTTGTGTCCCCTTTCGGGATTCTTACTCTGGTGGATTATTACTCTTCTCCGACTTATCTTTTTTCAGAACTGGATTCCTGTCTCGGAAGTTCTTTGTTCCGAAGGTGCCTTTTTCCTTGACCCCTCCTGCTTCCCCCCGCTAGTTTGCCCTATGGTGTCGTGTGGCCCCTCTATGGTGTTACGCATGCTCAGAAAGAAAATCACACTATCCTCCTCTTCATGGACGTGGGCATTTCGCCTTTGCAGTCTTCCTTGACGCTTGTCTGAGAATTGCTCCGCTTTATTAGTTTGTTTGCTGCTGTTCTTTTCCCTCAATATTTCTGTTTTCTTTGCTTCTGTGGGACCCGACAGTCCCTCTAACTCTGGCGCCTCGTTTCCCCAAACAGTGGTTGATCGATGGAGGGGGGATTTTTCCCGTTGCTAGTGGTTGGATAATTGATGAAATCTTTCATGCCCTACTACTTTAGTTTACTCTCCCTCAGGCTGTGGGGCTTGACCTACCTTGCTGGGGGGCTAACTACGTGACTTCCTTGCCCTACTATTTCCTGTCTATCTGCCCGTGGGTCAATGACCCCTGCCTTACCTTTCATGACGTATCTCAGAGATTCTGACTTCTTTTATTGCTCCTGCTCTAGGTTCCTTGGGAGTAAGAAGTCGACGGAAAGAGAGTTCCTGGCTTGCTCCCTGAACTTAGCTCTAGTTATTTCTTCGGGTTTCTGGGAAACTGAGGACATTGACGCTTCGGACTTAATTGTTACTCTTTTCGTGGCTGCGGGTCTTACTTTTCTGATTCCTCTTACTCATCTCAATTTGGTCCCAGGAGTTGCTTCCTGGTTCTGCTCCTTTTCTCTTCGACTCTTCCTTCATGTGTGATTTGTATGTGCTCCTTCTTCCTCGCCTACCTTCGTTAAGGAGTTATCCCAGGAGGGAGCCTTGGAGAGTGGCTTGTTCTTTTCCTACCTGAATCGGCTCGGCTTCCTGTCTGACGTGATAGTTCTTCATGCCAGACCGTATTTCCATCCAGCTGAGGGTGAAGCAGACTCTTCCCTCCTCCTTATTTCGTTAGTTGGAGTTGCGTCTTATCCTCAGATGCTCGTCATGGTCGGGATTTACTTATTGGGCAAGTGTTGGCTGCTAACACATTTTCTAGTTTTTGCCCCTTCAATTGTTGCGGGGCTTGAGTCGTAAGCTAGGATTTTCCCAGAGCTTCCTCATTTGGATTGTCAGGCCCCGGAGTGGTGGGGACCCAGTTGGTGTCGCTTGTCTGGGTTACGTTGCCATGGGTCGGATCAGCTATTTCTTGACTACTGTCCTGGGTTTTCCTATTCCGGGGGTGTGTTTCCAGATATAGCTTCCCCATGATCTAGTGAGATGCGGCCTGGTTTGGGATGAATCTTTTTCCTCTTCTGCTGTAAAGACTTAATCATGGAAGAACTTGAAGAGCATCTTTTCCTCTTCTTGCTTGTCACTAGGCATCCTTCCTGAATTGAGCCGCCTTAGAATCTTTGGCGTTACGCCTTCGTCTGTTATCCATGTTTACCTTAATTTTATTTGGCTGGGTTCATTTTTTGGTACAGGAGGAAGTCGTGGGGGGAAGGATAAAGACTCTTTTCATTTGATCATCGTCCTGGGTGACCTGGGCAGTTTTGATTGAGTCAGAGAACATGATTGTTCGCTCCGAGGGTGCAGGGGTGTTTGTTCAATTCCAGTCTGGTAGATTTTTCCTTGAGATGGGGGTCCGACTCGCAAAGATTAGTTAAGTCATGCTGGTTTGGGTAGGTTCCTTTCCCTGTTATTGTGTTCTAGGTCCTCCTCTTTGTGAGATATGGGGAGACAGATATTCCTGCAGTTGTTGGAGCTTGGCGGGACAGTTTTTTATTAGGGTTTTTAGTCCTGCCATTCTTGATCTTCTTGTTGTCAGTCCCTTCATCCTTCTATAGTTGGTGAACTCACTGCCTACGCTGCTTTGGCTCCCAGCCTGTGACTTTGGCTGTCCTGCGATGCTTTTTACCTTTTCCTTTGTGCCGTTAGCTCTGGAGTCTGTGTCTTAGTTACCTGAATTCCTTCCCCATCGGTGCGCGTGGTGGTGTTGGAAGTAAATACTTTTGGGCGTCCAGTCCTCTCCCGTTTTCTTAATCTATTCTTTTTCTTGGTGGGTTGTTATTATCCAACTTCCTCTGTCTTGCCGGTTGTTTCTTCCTGTTCGGTCGGGGGTCTCTCCCGTTCTCTGAGTTGACATGTCGCTGCTAGTGGGCGTTTCGGTTATTTCTTGTTAGAGTTCTATTTCTTTCTGGGGTTCCGATTATGTGTTGTCTTTAGTTATTACATCGCTCTGCTTAGACTCAGTTGGTCAATCCTTACCGTCTCGTGTTCCTCTTTGCTAGATCCTAGATCCGCCGTTTGACTAAAGTATTCCTGATATCCTTGGGGAGACTCTTCTTGGGGGGGGATGCTCCCCCTGTTTATCGGGGGGGGGG